GCTGCCCTAACTCTCCGCTGCTGCTGCTGCCTCTCCCTAAGCTGGCGGAACAGTAACCTGTCACCCTCTGGTCCTAAGGCCAAGTGGGCTATCAGGCGTCTAGCCGATCGCAAGATCCAGTCGTCCTCACTAGTGGTATCCCTGTCGCTCATAAGCTACAAAACTATACACGATCTGCACTAGGTCACTCTTTGATACTTACCACAGCCCAGTGCACAGACCGATTTAAAATAATTGAATAATTAATCGGTGGCTAAGTCAGAGTATATACACTTGGGTCCAACAGGTAAGTTCAGGTTCCTACAAACGAAACTACTTTGACTTTGACTAGTTTGCGAACAGAAAGCACAATGAACAGAAAAAAGTTCTAACGAAACTACTTTGACTTTGACTAGTTTGCGAACAGAAAGCACAATGAACAGAAAAAAGTTCTAACTATGCTGCCTGTCAGATGTTAATGGCTGTACATCTAACTAATCGAAATAAAAATAGAATCATTTGTTGGGTCTGTTTGCAGAATGGAATCTTGCCCGAACTTATCACCTGGAATCTACCACTCCCTCAGTTCTTCTTGAATGTCACTTGTCGTCAATGTCCCTGAGCAATCCGGAACAACGTGCGTGTCTAAAGGTGTGCACACGGCCCACCCCTGTGCCCCGAGTCCTGCTGAGCTGGCCAGCCCTGCACCATATTTATCCTCGCGTGCAGCGAGCCTTACACCGACCTATTGGCTGATCAGGAGACGTTTTTATGGACGGCCCCTGAAGTCCTCAGGAATTCTTTAACGTCTCAGACAGGACGACGATCACAGCCAATGGAAGGCCCGCGCCAGTACTTATTTATAGACGTCCGGTACTCGTCTTTCCCGTAGGGCTGGCCTGCCCCTCAGAACCCCTCTATAGCGCAGTGAGCAAACAAAGGACAAAGCAGCAAAACACGCATGCTCTACTCCCAGTGGGTTGGCATGGAGACCGTTACCCAGTGCTTCGTTCAGGGCCCTTCAGATAGCACCGCCCTCTCCTTCCAGATGCTCCACGTGAAGACTGACGACTCTCAAGGTTGAGCGCACACGACTCCTCACATGAGAGGACTCTCAAGACAGAACACCCATCCTCACGGTAAGAAGTGTCGAAGAGGGTTAGGTGCAACATACCTCAAAATAGCTGCCCCCAACCACATATATTCTCACCAGATGACCCGCGGCCGATTGTGATGACCAATCGCTGACCAGCATTACACCGCCATTCCACCTCAGCATCAATCGCACATCGGATAGTTCTCATCACACTGCGAACACCCAGTATTCACCACGTAGCCTTCCTGGCGAACCGCTCTCCACCTGGGTCGCCTGCTTGCCTTCGCCCTCCTCACTACACACTCCCTACGGCTGCTCGCTTAGCAGACCGCATGCATGTACCACATAGGCAGAAGACAAGCGCCAGATGAGCGCACCGTACCATAGCTCCAATACCAAATTGAAAGGAAAATGAGCGATAGCGAACTTCAAGCAGCATCATATATATGAGACCAGATAGTCGTGACCTCGAACCAAAAGCAGAATTGCATCACGAGTCCCACCAAATAATAGCACAGCAAAAACTCACAAGTGACAATGTTCGAGTAGTCTCATCATCATCAACAAAGAACCAATGTCGACATCCTATCTGGCGCTCGGCGCCCAGACTACAAATGGCAGATCCTATGTAGCCTATCGACAATGCCGCTGGTGACGTCAACAGCGCCCCGAAGTACCGAGCAGATCTCGGCCAATGCCGTACGCTTCAAGCACCAGGTATGTCTCTCGTATCACTCACATTCCTCAACTCACAGATTGCCTGCAGAACACCGCAAATTCCGAGCTGGGGAAAAAGTCCATCATGAATCACTTCATGAGGGTGCTTCCCCTAACAACGAGCAACCATTTTGGCCCCCAAAGCGCAAGGAGTTGCAAATCTTCAAGCCCATGGCACCTGGATTCCAGTGTATGGGATGCTGGTCGGCAACTGTGGAGGGTCTTGGATTCTGCGAGGATGCTGCTGCCTGCGGAAGATCTCATGGATGTCCCGCGTTGACGATGTAAGTATTTGCTGCAATGGTGCTGGGGTGGGCTGAATGTCACGACCGGTATAGCTCCAGTTTTGAACATAGGGTCACAGTTGCAGTGGTAAAGGCATCCAGCAGGTATAGCGGGGGTCACCGGTTTGATTCCGTCTCTCGCTGCGATCGATTACTGGGCTACAACGATAAGCCTACCAACATGGCAGATGAGAGCATTTGGCAACCAATCAGTGGTAGAGAGAGGTTATTATACGCCTTGGCCCAGTATTAGGGGCAGTAATAACGAAGGGGGAAGAAGTGTGCAGCAATCAGGAGGCAAACCAAAGACACTTGGTCCGGTGATTACTGCAGCGATGAAGAAAGAGGTGCCGATGCTTCAGGAGGCGAAGGTGATCGCCTCACCTCAGGGGAACAGGCTCAGACTAATCTTTCTTCTTTTTTTTTGTTCTTGCTGCATGTAGCAGTTAGTACAGAACGGGGAAAACGGGAAGCAGCAGCAACAGGAAAAGGAGGAGAAGAGGGTAATCATGACTCCTCAGGCAAACACGGAGATTGCAGACCACCATGGGAGAGCAATGAAGTCACCAAGGAAGTTTTCACAGACAAGGTGGAAAAAGGTATGTGTACTTTTGATTAGTAGATGCTAGGCATGAACCGGTTTCTGTTCAATCTCCTTTTGAAAGGCTATCCAAGTCTCTTTTTATTTCTACTTTTGGATTTGGGTCACTTTTCCCTCTTCTCCTTGCTCCGAACTCTTCCTTTGAGACAATCCTTGACCCTTCTCTCCTTCCTCCAAAACCACCATTGGTTCCAAGCCCCATTTCGATTGCACCTTTTTGCCCAGCCTTAAAATATATGACCCTTCAGGTGCGCTTGGATTTGCCTGCCTACAGCACCCTTTCCCCATTGGGCACTCCTACCCTTTCCCCATCGGGCGCTCCACGTTAACTGGCAGGGGGGGTTTAAAAGGCTGGGCCGCCCACCTGCGGTGTAAATTGCAAATCTGCCCCTCTCAGCATTGAATGCCCAGAGGCCACAGCAGTGTCACGAGCAAAACACCATTTTTTTAAAGAAAAAAAAACTATTATAGGGGAAGTGGGTATTGGACTTCACTTTTAAAAAAAATCCTTCTCCGAAAATCTCTGTGACCGCTTTTCCAACAATTTAGAACTGCTCAGTCAATCCGCTGGGTCCCAGGGTAATCGATGCTGGCAGGTCCCATTCCCTATACTCAGACATCCTCAGAAAGTTGTTGTTGTATATGGGACGCTGGACCCGTTTACCAGCAGGTCATACTCCCCACCAATAGTTGGAGTCTCCCTTGGAAGGTACTAGCGGTGATTGCTTTAATCGACACCCACTAGCACCCCAAAACGGATCTTTTCTTAAGAAAAAAAAAACAAAAAAGGAAAAAAGGTGTCCGCCCTCCTGTCCATACCTGTCTAAGTTCGAATGTCCGACACTGCATCGAGGTTGGCAGTCATACCACCACTGAAGAGCATTCGCATCACTGTATTGGCCTCGCTCCACTACTCTCGACATGCACAAAAGACAAAAATCATGGCGTCTTCCAGCGGAAGATTCACTCTCGTTTTGCACACTTCGAGAGTCTTGGCATGAGGCCCTACGCCTACATCATGTCACATTTCTGCATTTTCCAAAAACTGGTGAACAGAAAAATGCTGAGTTAATCTCGTTTGCCGGTCATGTTGCTTTCGTCATATGTTTCTATAGAAGAACGGGAAAAAAAACGCAATCAGCTGATAATTTTTTTGTACAATCACCACTGCAGTTTTGCTCTAATTAGTAATTAGTAAAATTAGTAATTACTAATTAGTAATTTACTATTTAGTCCTAATTTCTGCCAAAGAACAGAAAAATGGCCTTGCTTGTAAACAAAGGCCAGTCATATCAAAGATAGATTACCGTTTTTTTCCCGGAACAACCACAACAACCCCCCCACCCAAGAGCCTAGCTCAATGGGTACATCCATGAACTGTTGAAATACAGACCTGTGTTCGAATCCCGACCCCCCCCCGCC